GAATTTTAGGAGTCAACAATGTTGTGCTGCACCCACTGACCTTAGTGACCTATAATTATTACATTATTGACTGAAAGCGCGATCTATTCTAAAGAACTGTTCTAAAGAACACGAACAAGTTTGTTACGTTAAACTCACGAGCGATTGCGTTCGAAGCATTTTTGCCGTTGATAAATATAAACTCGAGCCGAAAAATGAAAAAACAAAACATGAACGGAACGTTTATTTCATTTTTTTAAATACCGAGGTATACAATGACAATAACTGCAGAGCGGCATAGTTATAAACCCGGCTTCATATTAATCATATATCAACGTATTCAAATGCATATAACGACAATTCTTTAGTCAAAATTTTTAATGCTCTATCATGGACACTCAGACAATTGACTAGAATATTTCACAACAAGTAAATATAATGCACAAATTTACAAATATGTAAGCATTTTAAATCGATATTGGGCAGAATTATTTATTCGTTTGCGTACGTGTACTGTCCTTGTTAATATTTTTGCACGCGAAGATGTGACAAAACTATTGAAAACACTGCATCTTGAACATCTTGAAAAGCACTCCTCGAATATCAGAAGTAATATCCTTCTTTTTTACAGATCGTCAAATTTGCACAATACACTCACTCAAAACGTTTTTAATAATCTAAGCGCGCCCACAAACTAAAAAAAATCAGTCTGCGGTAATTTTCATCGACGCGTTGACCTATATGACGTGAGCAACGGCGGGGACACATTTAGGCCTCGAGCGGCGAGCGCTTAGTCCATCTAATATAGGTCATTGGCTGCACCCCTGCCACCTCATGGAGCAGTATTGTTGAAAATATTCCTGAGAACAAACCTTGTTGAACATCAATGTTGTTGCGGCCAGTTGTTTTATTGATGGTTCAAAAAGGCTCAACAATGCGGAAACTACTGTGAAACCGTAGTTCTGTTGATCCAGGAGAGGTAGACAAACCGTGATGGGCATGCAGGGCCTAGGCCAACAGCGACTAAATAGGCTGTTTTTATAGTAAAAGTTGAAAGCTATTTTGCATGAAACACAATGATTAGTTAGTATACACAATTATACATGCGATATTCATTACCTCACAAATTGTTCACAAGATGTTCCGGATCGTTGTGGTTTTTGATAAATATCTTTTTGATTTTCGTGCTAAATATCGTGATAAATTATCGTGCTAATATTTCGTGATAAATATCTTTTTGATTTTAGTTTTATAATTCAAAATATCAGTTATGCTGACGCGAACCAAAATTTTAATTTAGCCAATCGCACGCTTGCAAACGTTTGCTGCATGGTTACCAGTTTTAACTCGTCTTAAATTCACACATGCGCATAACTTACAAAAACGCCCAACGTCCATGACATAATGGCGGACAACTTTCATTTCGCATTTGCATTCCCGGGCGTAATCAAAATCTCCGGGCGGAATTAGTACCCTCGCCCGCTCGGGGATTATGCTAGTAGCTCGAGTCGTATATGAGCTGTAGCCGACGAGATGCGTACCACTGAGTTGGCTATCAGCCATATACAACGAGAGTGAGTGGTGTAATTGTTTTATAATATATAAATAAAATAAATATCTTTTTGATTTTCGTGGTTTCTTAAATAGTTTTCATTATATGTTATTTGTTTCAGAATTTAACTGTTGTAAAACGTCACGAAATGGCATACACTCCAATCTCTGAAGACGAGCTGCATAACTATGGTGAATTGCCCGAAATAAGCGGTAATTCAATCATTTATGAACTTTCGGATGCCAAGATCCCTCCGAATGCAAGAGAGATTCTCGTTTATCTCTGGGCCACAACCCAGAGTGACGAGGAATTTCATCGTTATTACTATAGAATCCAAACCACAGATGGCACGCGGTCCTTCACCCAGTACATGAATGTTGCTGCATCCAAGGATGTTTCTCTCAATTCCGCCAACCTTTGGCTTCCTGTTTTTTCAGGATACGGTAGGTAATTTTCAATCTTCGCGGTTCTTGTAGAACGTCTGCTCACTAAAAGCTTTTAACATTTTCTTCAGGGCAAGTTACTGTACAATTGATTGACGCTGAAAATCCAGGGGCAAAAGGCAAAAGCATTGCTTGCAGACGCCAGACGAAATGCCAGAAAGTTGGAGAAAAGTACCTATTTTCAGTGAATTCTTCATCCTGGGTTACAGCTATTAAAGTTTTAAAACTTTCCGGCTAAATATGTTGTACCACCTTTTTTGAAAATACCGTGTGATTACGTTTATAAATAAATTTGCTTCACTTTATTCTGATTTGATCAATTTTACTTCCGATCTAGTACCAAACTATATTCTACTCTTTCTTAGGCTAGTTTCCAGTCAGAAAAATCATATTCTTCGGACCGTATCGGGCAGAAACGTCTCTTTTATCATTTTTTTCTCAACTAATTGTCTTTAGCAGAAAAGAAACCGTACTGGACTGCATGTTTAAACTTTCCTGACTGGAAACCAGGCTTTAGGTGCTGTTTACATGATCCCGTTTAGACGAGCTTCGTCGAAGCGTGAGATTAGCTTGAGGTGTCGAGATGAGTATATAACATTATCCTATCAGTGATGTAATCATCCTGACAATATCATGTGCTTGTTTGGTTTCGGCATAAAGACTTATTAAAAAAATACCTCAAAATCCACTCACGTTTCTTTGAAACTCGGGTATAACCGCGGGTTCGTGTAAACAGCTTCTTAATGTGGAATGATAGCCTGGACCGGTGGTTATTTTACTAAAGTAATAATAAGTTCGGCGCGGGGTTCGGTAAGTGGGTTTTATAAGAGAGCTTTAGATTTGACTACGGCTCCCGCTACGGCTACGAGATTCGTCACATTGACGTGATATTCGTGATACTTCGTACTTATGCCAGAGGCACGTAGCCCTCGCTCATCTGACTACGGCATTTTAACAAAACTTCGTAGTCCTGACTACGTGATTTAAAAAGCAATAAAAGTTGACATTTTTTCGTTTTTTTCCAGAAAAAAAATTTTGAGAAATGTTTTCCATGACTGTGGCCTTTGAATACGTGTATTTTTGGAAATGCTGAGGGTAAAATTCCCGAAATATTTGACGGGATAAACATGCGTTTATTATTGTGTTTGCAGAGATTTATCATGCCAGTACGAGGTGGCGTATGCATACAACGTTTGTTTCGCGCCACAGTGACGAATCTCGTAGCCGTAGCGGGAGCCGTAGTCAAATCTAAAGCTCTCTATAATAAACATGCATGGATACTTGCAGGGAGGTGAAACCTGCAAGTATGTTTAGTTTTTTTCTCATGCCTTTTCGGGAAAAAGAGTTCAGAAAGTTACGCATTGTAAAATTTTTAGTACGTAATTTCTTGTTCAAAAAACGAATATTCTAGTCGCAAACACGGCAACATAAACACTCGCTATTACGCTCGAATTAAAGCAAAAAAAATCTAAAATGCTCCCTTACTTTCGAAGGAGAAAATGCACGTATTCTGCGAAAAAATTGCCATTGTTTGCTGATTTTGCCAAACAATTTTCCGCGGCCATCTTGAAAATCTGGAATTCACCGGTGAGTTCGGAAATATAAAAATATAAATTTCAAGTTGAGTTCGAGAAGGCCATAACGATGAACGATGTATTTTGGCTTTTCTCATGCAGGAGAAAAAAACCCCTCTTTTTCGCAACTGTTTATTTTTCAGTTTTTTAATGTGGCCCTACTCGCAAAACACTAGCTCAACGTATAAAATTTTATAAATGATTTATCATTTTAGTAAGAAGTGCTCGAGCTAACATAGCAAAGGCGTCTGAATCCTTGCTATAGCTTATCTCGTTTTAAAAAATCCATTGAGGTCCCACAGTTTTTAATGTTGTCTACAAATTGCTTTAAAAGTTAACTTTGAAGTGAAATAATTAACAACTAGAAATACATTGCATGCAAAGTCCCCTCGCCTGAAGCGATATTTATATTTCTTATATTTCCATCACTGAAATTCTATAACACTCGTTTCTGCTGAATGATCGAACCCGTTGAAGTAAAATCCTATATCTTGGTACAATTATAAAGTCGACATTCAACTATAATCGTAATTCATTATAAATTGTGCTACGAATAGTTTTAAATACTACAATTTTTAGCGAAATTTCAATTCCTTTTTAAACAGATTGACCTTAAAAATATATGCTTTCCCAATCAAAATCATTTTAACGAAATTGACGAATAAATTCAAAGAGGTGTCGTACGTTTGTTCATAAATCTACAAGTTAAACTACGAAATACTTGAATGCTTTAAAATACAAAATCTACCTATTTACCTGTTCAAAAACACTCCAAAAATGCTTTAAAATCGTAGATTTTTCACCATCTATTTGAATCAAAGTTTTTCTATCCGAAAGCATCATCTACTTTACATTTTAATCATTTTTACGAGTGAATTTTTCCGTATATTTTCAAAACCATCCAAATGAAAAATATTTTTAAAAAAGTTTTATAATTCAAAATATCAGTTATGCTGACGCGAACCAAAATTTTAATTTAGCCAATCGCACGCTTGCAAACGTTTGCTGGTTACCAGTTTTAACTCGTCTTAAATTCACACATGCGCATAACTTACAAAAACGCCCAACGTCCATGACATAATGGCGGACAACTTTCATTTCGCATTTGCATTCCCGGGCGTAATCAAAATCTCCCGGGCGTAAGCAAATTCTCGGGGATTCAGTGCTAGTAGCTCGAGTCGTATATAGCTGTAGCCGACGAGATGCGTACCACTGAGTTGGCTATCAGCCATATACAACGAGAGTGAGTGGTGTAATTGTTTTATAATATAGCTACTATATATGAATTCCATTTCATGAACATTATATGAAATTTAACAATAACAAATTTAACTGCAATAAGAGGGCGTTCATCCTTCTCCGAGGCCTTTTTTAGCTGTATGTTCGTCAAAATGCATTTTTTTGTAGTAGCCTACTGTACGATTCGCGCGTAAATTTATAACTAAAACAAATGAACCGATTTGATCACATGATTTAACCGAATTTGAACTTTGAATGTCAAAGGTCTTCTTCCTTTTGAAAATGATAGCGGTAGTGTCGGCAGCTTAGTGATTTTCGTAATCTATGAGCTGATATCTGGTGAGCATCTCCACCAATCAGATTGCAGAACAGCTCATATACAGTAACTAGCGAATCACAACCATGCAATCCAGGCATCCAGAAAACGGTTACTTCGAGAAAAATATAAGATACCGTACACATGTCAAATTCAAGCTAGGAACATGCAGCTGGGAAAATGTGCAACTATCGGTCTTCTGGTAGGAACGAAATAGAACTCCCGAGTTGCTGAGGGCACACCACCAATGCATTGAAGATTCTGGTCTATTTGGTCTATTTTTAGAAAATTCATCAAGTGGGCTGATGTGCAATGAATGAAAACACTGTACTTCTCTCAACCAAAAAGAATAGCCAGTAACTCTGGATCAGGCTAATAGTGAAATAAATTATTTTAAGTGCAGCGCTTACACAAGTGAAAATTGTTGGCAATGTTACTTCGTTAAGGTGGGCAGAAACAGTCTGGTTCGGTCCAAAATTAATTTAAGATATCCTAAAACTTCGTTGCTTTGCAACTATTTGATAATAATTTGGACGAAGTATTGCTGCGGGGAAAGAAACCTTAGTGGTTGGTCTTTCCGCTCCATCAGGCAACAAAAAGTTGTAACGATGTAATAAAACTGACGCAAACGTGAACATCATCACCTTTGCCAAGGATGGGCCAGGACATTCTCTACGGCCAACGCCAAAAGGTAAAAAACTGTGTAGTTTGTTCCAGCCTACAAACTTTCCATCACTGTCGAGAAATCGTTTGGGCCTAAACTCATCTGGTTCGACCCATTCCCGTTCATCGTGATGAATTTTTGACAAATTCAGGTAAATGGACGTACCTTTTGGAATGTGATACCCAGCGATTGTTGTGTCACGATATGCATCCGTCGTGACAACAGGGATTACGTTGGATGCTCTTTGAGTTTCACACAAAGTAGCTTGTAAGTATGGCAAGTTCGGTAAATCCGCCCAACGGGGCAAACGATCTCTGCCTACGATCTCGTTAAGTTCTTCCTGAATCCTAGTCTGTACATGGGGATGCAAGACGATGAATAGAAAAAACCAAGTAAGCGAACTTGAGGTTGTTTCTGATCCGCCCATAGCAACATTCAGCATTAGGTATGGTATATCGTCTATAGAGCCAACGTCTTTCGAATTCTCCTTACTAATCTCCTTTTCGTAAGCACTGATGAAGCTATCGGTAAGATCGCGTAGAACACTCGGGCAGTAACTTTCCCGGTGAACTCGATATTCCGGTGGGAATAAAGAGTCCCGGATCTCTTGTGCCGTTGGACATCTCGAGAAAATGACGTTGGAAGATACGTCAAAAATGGAAAAAGCTGAAATACAGGATTGAGGATAGCTTGTTTTGCAAATAGTTCTGCAAACTCGGCCAGTTTTTTCACTGTTGGATCATTCAAGCTAACATCTTTCGATGTGAGCCACTTCCAAAGCTGGACTAGAATGGCAGATTCCATAAGTTCTTTAGGCGAAAATGCATGTCCGGGCTTCGACTCGATCTCTTCGACCATAGTATCAACAGCATGTCTGGCACGATCGGTCACTTGTTCTATCGCGGGGCCAAAAACATGCAGAGCAGATAACAACACCCTCTTCCGAAAACGAAATTCGGATGAATAATCGGACGTGAGCACATCTTTACCGAACATCTTCCTCCAAGGGTCTGAAATCTTTTCCGATCTTCCTGCAAGGTCCTCTTGCCGTCCTGCTCGTCTTGCGTCGCGCGCAAGCGAAGCAGTGTTCAAAACCACACCATCTCGGCCATCGGGGAGTGTAAGTGTGTAAATATCTCCATATTTTTTTGCTAGTTCGGTAAAGGGCATCACGGGATCTGCAGCGATGATTTGAGGAAGGTTGCCAAGGAACGGATATGGGAACGGTCCAGGAGGCATGTTTCTTCGCTTTGTGTATGTATTGACCAGGGCGCTTATATATAGGGCGGTGCAACGCGCTCATTGCGCGCCGATCGATGTGTGATGCGGAAGTATGGTAACGAGTCTGTTGTTTTTGCATAATAAAATATGGCGGATAGACTTGAGGAGGCAGAGGAGCAGTATTTCGATAGGAATGATGAGCATTTCTCGTTCTCTCATGATACGGGGGATTCATCTTCCACAAGTAATGCACACCAGGACAATGACACTGTCCGGGGCCATGCTGGGTGGGCAGTAAAGAGAGCTAGAGATGTTATCTTTAAGGGGCAAGATAAAGTGCCAGCGAAGGAAACTGTTAACGACGATTCGCCAGTGATTTTCAGCAGCAAAACAGCCGCACTAGCAGTTTTCTCACTATTGGGGGAAGATACGAAACAGGCTAATGGCAACTACAATTTTATTATTTATGAGCACGTCAATCCTTTTTTTATTTATCTGCACAAATTGACTGAACTTCTATTAAGTCCGGATAATATTCTCAGGGAAAAGGAAAACATACTGAAATTTTGTCTTGATGAAATGTCAACAAATAAGGAATTGAGAGGTAGATGGAATGAAATAACACCGAATTCAGACATGGTAGCATCTGTTGTGGTTTTGCAAAGAATTGTCACTTTCTTCCTTAAGTCGAAGCAGCAAATAATTCGTGAAAAAGAAGGCCTTAAGCCGAAGAAAAATAGCATCGCTCACCGACAGCAATTAAGTCGAAATAAAAAATGCTCTGCTGTATCCCACACTCGACAACAGTGGATCAATCCACACTCACAACAGTGGATCAATCCACACTCAGGTGGATCAATGACAACAGTGGATCAATCACACTCAGACAACAGTGGATCAATCCCACACTCAGACAACAGTGGATCAATCACAGACAACAGTGGATCAATCACAACACCTTGAGAAACAATTTCAACAGTTCTTCATTACATGTGTTTTTACTTCATTTGCAAACTCTGCCTTTTTCAGAACAGGAAAATATTTTGACAAAATTCAAAGGGAAGGAACTTGGTAAAATATTGAAGTCATTGGGACAGCCAGCATTTTTTGGGAAAAAAAAGAGAAACAAATACAGACCCTCTTGGATACAATAAAGAGAGGACAGATATGCATAAATTTTCCCAAAGAGGTAAGTCTTATTATAAAAGTGAAAACCAGGGCACTTATAAATATGTATATATATACATGTCTAAGCGCCCTGGTGAAAACCATACCACATTGCTAATAGAAAATAAATAGAAAATTTATTAAAAAAGATATATATATATATATATATATATAAGATATATATATATAAGCACCTATTTGTTTATACCAAATTATTCATATTTTTGTGAGCCATGACTGGCTCTTGTGAAAGTTTTGCCCCCCGGCCCTGAAAAGACTAATCTGGCACTGCCTCTAGGTAAGGTCTTCATTTACCTATGAGAGTGGTCACAATTAATGCTGTGAAAGGGTCCTAAAGATATTTTGAGTCTATTAAGAAAATACTAGAAAATATTCTGATGCACTTAAGGGGGCCCACAAAAGTTAACTTGCATATTGACTTTATAAGAAAATTGTATCCTTGTTCTATTCTAAGAACTCTAGTATGTTGACACTGTGGGATCTACATTGCAAGGGGGGGTGTAAAATTTTATCATTGGATCAAGGGGGGCACAAAACCTAAATGTCTAGAAATGAGGGGCCATGAAAAGGAATGGAAGCCCGAGTAAATATCTTCCACCCCCCTCCCCGGCATTAATTGTGACCACTCCCTAACTTAATATTATCATTTTATATAGTTGGCAAAATAACTCTCAAAGATAAACTGGCCACAGTTGCGAGGTAAAGATACTTTCCATATTACCTCTCCTTGGAAGACTTGTGATGCTACTCTCCTGCTCACTACTAAGTTCTATTTCATCATTATCCAAAACATTTGTTTGTGTCTTCCTTAGCAATTTGGTGGCAGAATATGTGATAGCACTGTTTACGTTATATCCATAAGCAATTGCAGTCATGTTGGTTGTACCGCCACATGATTGCCTTTGCACCGAGAAGAAAGACTCAACTAGATCTTGACTTAGTCGCTTTGGAATCACATAATGGCTTCCTTGGAGGGATTGGATTTCAGGACTTCCAATGAATTTAACAAGTTCCTTAAAGCCGTTAATTGAAACCTGCAAAGTCAAAGAAAACAGTTGGTCAAATAATATTCATTCCCAAGTTCATACATTCACTTTTAAGTTCAAAAGGGTTTTGATATGAATTTTAAATTTTATTAGATATGTATGTGAAGAGTTAACTAAAAATACTGGGTTGATTATAGTTAATTATGGCTTTCAAATCAACTATCAAATCCGATTATTTTGCATAGATCAAAAAGTAGTCATTATGCAAAAGGTCTATTGAATGGTTGATTTTGTTCATTTTCATATAATAAATAACCAATTAAATCACCTGCAAGTCAAACATTGTTTGCCAAGAAATAAAATGTGATGATATCTCAGCTTTAGTTTTAAATTTAGAAGCAAGTTCATCCTTCCAATTATTGAAAAACTGTATAACATTTTCCAAATCTAAAATTCTAGAATCGGTTATTGATGAAAGTGGTTTGTCATCATTGAAGACATTCCATAATTTCTCACAGTTTAAAATGAATTTCTGGGTTGACGTCGTTTCATCTGACTCAAATGTCTCCATATCTTTCTGCACTTTTGAGTTCAGGGCTTGGACAGCAAGCTTCACCCGCATCTTACTTAAGCTATCGAGGTGAACATGGGAACTTCTTAGGTCTGTTGAAAACAAATGCCTCTGTTTGTCTCTCAGATAAACAGAATAGATGTGATCCCACAAAATGTTTTTAGAATCTAACAATAAGCATCGAGTATATCTTGGGGAATTTTCTTTGAAGCCACTCTTGTAAATGTTGTTGCGGAGTTTCTTAATCAAATGGGGTGGATCAGACATGAAGAACATAGGGAGTTTGGAGTATGGGTTTATCGTTTGGCTTGTCGTTTCACTACAACCATTCATTGTCATAAATTTTCTGTTCTCAGCAGCACCCATCACAACATGTCAGAATGACTTTAAAATCATAGCCATGTAGCAAACCAACTCCTTTCCAAAATAATCTGTTTAGGTTTTGAGCAGATATTCCTCTTGTTAGAAAATAGGAACATGGAAATTGAAAACCAGCAAACAAGCTCTTATAGAAAAATTGTAGCACATGTGTTGCAAGGCTGTCTCTTAGATTGGGTGACTTATCATCAATGTCCAAATCAGTAAAACCGATTAATTCCCATGATGATGGGTCGAAGAGTAAGCCTTCTTTAATTTTGACTTCATCAAATAAAAGACAACCAAATTTTCCAGCTTCTGGAATTTTCTTATCTACAAAGCTGTTTCTCATGGCTTCTAACACAGATGTCTGCCAACCAGATTTTGATGAACAGAAGTTTTTGTAATCGGAAAGAGTTCTTCCACTAGGAAGTTTTAGGAAACCAGATTCTCGAAGCTCAGTGTACATGCTATGGGATTTACAATACATTCGTAGGCACCATTTCAATATCAAAGGATGCCACCTCATTTGTTTGGAAGGCATATTCAAAGCCTTTGCCTGATCGTTCAAAAGGGTAATGAAAAATGTATCTGACTCACTCCCTGTATGTTCAACAACATGGCTGTGGAGAAGCTTCTTTTTCCCAAAACGTTTGTCGCAGCCTAACCACTCACAAGTATATTGCCTGTTGATTGGTGCAACATCATCGACAGTTTTAATATGAACAGTTTTCAAATGTCCAAGAAGCAACTCTGGTGTTTCAAATTCAGTTTCCAAATCACAACCAACCCAATAACAAGTGTTGTTATCATGCTTTTTAACCACTTTATCCAATCCTTTATACAATTCTTGAAATAACTTCCTAAAATCTGAATCTGTATTACTTCCAACAGTACTCATTTCCTTTTGGTATTCTTCTAGCCTTTTTATTTTGGTCTGCATCACATGAAGTTTTCCTGCCATTTCTCTAGTACATTTGAGTAGCTTATCTTTCGACATATAATCATATCGAGTATGCTTAGAATTCTGACCTATGACTATGTTCTTGCTTCTATATTTAAGTGTCCTCATGTAATGACCTGACTGTTGGCAAGATTTGCAACTTTCACCATCCTTAATAAATATGTCACAATTGGTGGATCTTAAACATCTTTTGCAACAATTTCCTGACAAAGATTCTACAAATGCTGCAGGCTCTCCACTAGCTCTCCTATAAACTGGTGTACTGTCATTCTCAGGTAACAAATCTTGGTAATTTTCAACAGAAGCACCAGGGCATAATCGCAATTTCTCGAGAGATTTCATGAGTGAGTAAAGCTGATGCTTGTCATAAACTGATGATGGAAGGAAATTGTCATCAAAATTCAAAACTTTGGGCTGTCCCATAAAAACAAAGAATAACTCCCATCTGATGACACGGTTACTTGATACTGTGCATTCACAGGACTTCTACCCATATAATAGAGATTGACTTTTGATTCTTTGACATCAGGAATGACTTTCCACTTCGGAAACCTATTCATGCAATCAGCACTGCCCTTGTTTATCTTCCATGCAAGACTTTGTGAGAGCTTTCCCTCCTCACACTGGATAGGCATGCCATTTCTAGATCTCTGCACAAGTCATCATAATAACTATTGTGGCTTGCATCAGAATTTAGGAGTAGGTTCAAAAGGAGTGATTGGTGTGTAGTAACAATCCTTTCAATATAAGTTGAATAGAAAACCCATCTCAGATATCCATTATACTTTCCAAGTCCCTTTCTAAGATTGTTAATGGATCGATAGAAATAGTTTTGTAAGCTGACACAATCAAAACGAATGCCATATACATTATAAACTGCTTTTGTAATGCCAATAAACTTTTCGGGAGTGTATCCCTTTGCAGAATTAATGCTGCCAGATGGTGAGGAAATTCTCAACAAACAGTATAGAAGAAGTTCTTCAGGTTGTAAAGTAATTTTACCAGAGTATTGTACTTGCGCTGTTTTAGTGTTTGTAAAACAATTTGTATAATCAGCAACGGGTTGCTCCCTGTCGTTTCCCTGAGGTGTCGCTTCCCCTGCAGTAGTTTCCAATGATTCAGACACCCTTGCTCGTTTGTACTGAGACACATACGTGTCATCAACTTCTCTTTTGCCGCAAGAATTAGACATTTTGTTTACAAAACTGTTGTTTACATGCTCGAAAATCAATGGTGAGAAAAAAGATGAACTTGCTTACGACAGGAAAATGACGCGAAACTGAGAGATCATCTTTGCTCACGTTATTGTATGTTACCATGTTTACGCTTTAACCTTCGATAGAATACAGTTTGCACATCGAATCTGTGGCCGGATAATTCTTTCGTACATAGATAAGGAAACCATCTACTCAATTTGTTATTTTTTTGGTGCGTATAGACAAACGATCATCTCGCCTTCCTGACAAAAAACTTACAAGGCCTGGGCAATTTTTTATCAACGAAAGCGCTGGGCATATTTACAAGCAATTTGTATTTTATTAACTTGGCTAGTAGGGTAAAATTACTCAAGCCTCTAGTTCATTATGATATTTTCTTTAGAAAAAGTTATAAATTCTTTTAAAGGACTATTGTTGACCAGAACACAACAAAATGAAAACAATTGTTACGTTTTGTTGTTGTCAAGCAGCGAAGAAATGCACTAAAACTAACTCACGATTAAAGTACAAGTTCTAGTTATTTTATCTGAAATCCATCCACTTCAATTCTAATGAAAAGTATAATATGTCATTCTATTATTATTATATTCAACATACCTGAAATATTTCGTCGTGGACAAGCAGTTACATGCAATATGTTCAAATTGAAATCTTCCCCCGATTCAAGCCATTACACGATCCCGTTGTTATCCAAAAATTTAATATTTGAAAAGGCGGTTTTTAAATAATTGAAGTTACCAGAATTTCAATGAAATAGAATTACTTAACAACCCGTTAAAAGTTCTTCCAAAATGCCATATTTAAGAAAAAAAATAGAAAATATATAGCATTTGTAAAAAACACACTCCATTCACATTTCGCTCGACAATCACGCTCGTGCCAGGCCATTTCCGCATCACACATCGATCAGCGCGCAGTTACGCGTTGCACCGCCCACTATATAAGCGCCCTGGTATTGACTGCATACCAAGCGAACCACACCAGAAACAAGGAGAAAACAGTTTCAACAATCATGATCCAGAGGCTCTAACCTGTTTTAATATGAAATATGAGAGCTACAAAATGTATCTTTGATTAATGGAAGAAGGACGGAAAATTAATTAATGTTCTAGCCGTGCAAGAGAGCACAATGCATAGCTCCCCCCGCCCCCCCCCCCCCCCCCTCCCTTCAAAGTTCCCAGTATAAAGCTTGTGATTGCGTTAGGCCTGGTTCAGACTAAGTACCCGGCACCGATGCTCAAAGTCAAAACTGGTTCAATTTACTGTGGTACTGACATGCTGACAACAATGCCTCTGACCTTGTTAAGTACCACTTCTGGAGCTAGTGCTAGTGTTCAATTTCGAATCATCGTGTTCAACCTAGGTGTCAGAAAATTGGTAATTTGAAATTGATAATTTGAAATGAAGCTGTAATTTAAAATGTGATTCCAATATATGCTTGATTTATTAGGGGGTACTTTTTCATACACTCTGTAGTTACGCCACTGCCTGTACACTTTGCTACCGTATAAAAATAGCATATATTTGTCATTTCAATCATATAGAAACAATCACATACGCCACGCTACGCTTCGCTGCCATAGCCCACCCCCTAACTGATTTTCCTGCGGGCAAAATTTCCCAGGAACAGTCCCAGTGATTGAAACGAAAATTACCCATGATGATTAGATAAATCTCTATTTTGGTATTTGACATCAAGATACAGTTTACCTGTACACTATTGATTTCTATTTAACAAATAGGTGTTCATAATTCCTTCAGTATTCGATCGTACTCAATCGAATGCTAATCGAGGGGAGACGATATTCATATATTCTTTTATGCCAGGCTGGTTTTTATTGAAACTGAAATTGTTTCCAAAAGAAATTATCCATGCAGGCACAGCAGAATATGGTCTCCTTTAATTAACGTTCGATACGATTGACGGCAATGCTTTCAGTCGTATGCAAAGGTGTATAAAAAAACAAGACCTTTAGATCAAACTATTGTTATAATTTAAATGCTTTGTGACGTAATTATAACAATAGTGACGTAACCTTAGCGTAGTGACGTAACCTTAGCGTAGTGACGTAATTATAACAATAGTTTAATTTCTAAAAGTCTTCTTTTTTTATTCACCCTGTATTGAAAATGTAGGATTTTATTAGAATATACAGAGTGTATAAAAAAAAGGTAATCCAACTTGGCGCACTATTGCACGTGAACTGCTCATTCCATTAACAAAATTTTTTCACATGCGAAAAGTTTAGGCTCTTATCTATCAAATGACATGTTTATAATACCAAATGGTAAAAAAATGAGAATATATGAGACTGATACAAAGTGTTAGTCAAAATCGCATATTTTCACCTCTGAGAGTTTGACTAAAACCATTGAAAATTAACTCCCTTTGGGACTTAATTGAAGAATTTACCCGCATAAGCATATTAAGTAGGAATAAATCACATCAGGAGAACATTCCAAGCAATGCTGGTCAAGTTGAAGCATCGGCGCATAATCTCTTTTTAAAAACTGTGACTGTAAATAATTGCAATAAACATGTTGAAAAAAACCAGTGCAAGATGAGACATGTTCGTAATTAATTGTTTTTTGGTCGCGTCGCGTAGAGACAGCGACCTATAGTTTCGGCTTGGTTTCTTTTTATTATTATTTTCCTCTCGGGTCGACCCCCAGCGTCGCTAGCTGCAGGCCATATCACCCTAATTGGGAACCTGCGCACAGGTAAGTTGCTAGTTATTATCATCAAGAAAGCGATCAAAATGCTTGCAAACGCTTTCCTCATCTTTACGTTCATTACACATATATACAGCCGCACACGCCGAGCACAGTAAGCCTACATCGGCTACCCTAAGTAAAAGATGTAGAGTGGTTTTGAAATGGGCTGTTCCGTGTTTCTCCTGCTTTCAACATGCGACCTATATATAGTTCGATATATTGTTCATTTTTATTATTAAGAACATTTACGACACAAAATTTGCATAGCTGAGCTGGCTACGCTGCTGTGAACGACGCGACCATAACGCCTATAGTAGGCGTCTTGTTTCTTTTGTTATGCACTGCTTCAATCAGGCTCAAGGTGAAAAAATGCAATTGTAACTAACGTTTTTTAACAGCCTCGTATGTGCTCATTTTTTCACCATTTGGTATTAAAAGCATGTCATCCGATAGCTATATACATATAAAGCCTGATCTTTCCGAATGTGAAACAATTTTGTTCATAGACTGTGCAGTTCACGTACAATAGCGTGTCGAAGTTGGATTACCTTTTTTTTGATACCCCTATCTTATCGTCCAGAGGTTATCGTCCAGGTTTATGCCAAAAATGGTTCCTTATCCGTCACTGTCTGTTGTATTTTTGCACAACTAACCAATAGCAATGGCTTGGCTTAGCTTCTCAACCGTGACTTGAACAATATGTTAATTCAGACTTTACTATTGGTTTATTTGTTCAAAATACAATAGACACGTGACGAATAAGGAACAATTTTTGCATAAATCTTCCCCGACATAGTTAACGAATTCTACTGTACTTTTACGTAGTCTCTAAACCATGTATATTCTATTTACTGTGATTTAATCAGTAGTCTCAATATTTAATGCATTACCTGTTAAATTTCCATTTTCTTTTTTTTAAAGCCCGGCATGGCTAATTGAAAATGAAAGGGCATGTCAATTCTTACAGAAGCGAGCCGCCGCGAATTTATATGCGCCCACTTAAACAAAGAAACGCTTTGATTTTGGTTTCATTGTATGTAATGACTTAAAGCACTACCTGTTTTGTGCTCGAATAGAAAATGACTAAAGCGAATATTTTGTGCTGCATTTTTTTTACACGCTGTATGATTGAAATATTCCGTAAGATATATTTCTCACATTCATCATTATTAGATAGAAATTCGTACATTAATAGGTTCAGGTAAATATAACTGTGGTTAAATCTAAGTGTAGCTATAGGCTATAGCTATATAAGTTTTTTTATCTCGATAATAACAGCTTTTCAATGGCTATATCCATGGCCTATCAAGCTGATAATTAATTTAAAGTTGCCCGTCTTCCACATAGATTTTTGTTGTAATTGTCGTGAATATGTCAAGGTGGCTAATGCAATGGAATATTTCTACTTTTGTGCAGTGAACAATGACCTGTTTGAATCACTGGTTTGAATACATTAATATCGACACTGAACTTAAATTCTGACTATATTTCCCATTGGTGAAAAACAATTGTTCACGGGAGTCACAACAAAATGGAAAACACGCTTTTCATTCAGTAGTTTGGTTGCAGTCAAAAAACAAGAATGGTACGTGTCATTGGAAAGAGAAATGACTGCTCTTTTACACTACGTAAGGGTTAACCAAAGTCTTGAGTCCTCTGTCCTTCGACAACAACAATCTGAACAATCATTAATTTTATCCGTAGTGAAATGCAAAGGACTGTATGAAAGGAGAACAACTTAAATTTAGTCTCTTCTCATACTTCAATCAAGCATTTCGTCCTATCGATAGAATAATTACCAGAGAGGTGCTGAAATCACCTAACGCTCGCCTGCACTGTTTGTCTAGAATAAGGCTAAACTCTGTATGAAAGGTATCTGTATGAAGCACAAATTACCGATCTTTTCATTACAAATTACAAGGCTAAAATCCGCGTTGGAAGGTAATATTAAGCACAAACTTCAGATATTAGTTGTGACCTCAGAATTACTGGCCAAAACTGGCCTCGGAATTACATTAGTTTTATTTGTGACCAATATTTCTTCCGTTTCTCGCAATCCGCGCACGTGATATCAACAGGTAAGTTAACGGACCAGGCGAAAGTCCCTGCTTTAAGCCGGGCGCACACACAACGATTTTACGGTAGTTGGTCCATTCAGGTTTAGACATATAGGCAGCTCTTGCCCAGACATGTTTTCCTTCTCGCGGCGCTCGCGCCTCGCGCGTGTATAGATCGCCAGTCGCCACATTTTGATGAAAACATCCATCTAGACAATCTAGACAAGAATCGGCAGACTAAAATCTTCGTGTGTGCGCCTAGCTTTATGAAATAAACAAGATTGGATTTTTATATCTACACAAAAAAGGATTATGCATCAAACAACGAAAAAGTATGTACATAAATCTTATAGGTAGTTCAAAGGGTCCTGTCTACAATTTAACTGGCTTTAATAATATATTTGCATGTGTATCTACATAAATAATATGCAAATATATGATGTCACATGCGTTGCCATTTGCCTTTGCATTCCGAGCCTATCGGCTTTCTACTTATAAATACAGACAATATTCTTTAAACTTTAACGTTGGACTATGTTTTATATATATTCACTCCCTGAATGATTTCTATATTTGATGAGCGATTGAATTTTGATACGGCATGTCACAACACAATCTCATAATTTACTAGAAATACATGCATGCAGAAACCCCTCGCCTCGGATTAACAAAATTAGTTAAGCATAGGGATGGTAACATGATTGTTAGAAAATTTATGATGTGAGAAAAAGAAATTGAGAAAAGTGTGGAAATATTTTTCTGCACGTGGAAACACTGTAGTCATAGCCACTGAGCTATATAATAATTCCTGGAGGACCGGCTCGTCATTTTTCAGTAACTTCGCCGCCATCTTTTTGAAGCCACCAATATGGCGGATTTTGCCTTCTGCGCAGTGCGCAGAAGCTCTGCTGACGCCACATGGTTCCTTTTGACCATGGTATTTACCACTGACCAGGCTCAATTCTGAGCCCGTTACAGCAGTATTCTCCCCCCTGGCACTGCCCCTGGTTTTTGTAAATAACTATTCTCCCCCCTGGTTTTTATACTTTTTTGCCGTGATCATGAAATCTTTTTTGTTTTTGAAATGTTTTTAGGTTGTTTTTTTTATATATTTCGCCCTGACATACAATAAAGTTTTATTTTAAGATGAATACAAGTCATACACGCTGTTTTTGCCAGTGCGGGAACAAATATATATTAAAATATGGAAAAATGTGGACAAACTAAAGATTTTAAATACTGACACGAACTGACAGGTTTATTATTTTATTTTCGTAATAACATTTTTGCTATTTATACTTTCCAACATGAAAGTTTACAAATGTTTGAATGTTTTGGCACTATCCTCGCATATTTTGAAGACAACTAGGAATTTATGGGCAACAATTTGACTTTTCTAAACCCTGAACTGATGATGAATTGCAGGAAGTATGTAATCAGTATTCAGTATCTGATGTTGTCTTCAAGACTTTATATCTATGCACAATCCAAAGTTCAGGCAAAATGCTGGGCAGCTGACTAATACTAAGTGCAGGAATATAGCTTCAACCAAGAATTATATTTGCATAATTATATACTTTTCATTCAAGTCATCAACTTGTACCTTAATTAACCTTAATAGGCTATAAAAGTTTTCAGCATTCTCTAATTGCATCCCTGGACCCCTGGTCATAGTAAAGAATAACATTTATCCCTCCACTGATTAGCCTAATGAATATAGCCCTCTTGGAGGTTGATACCATAAACAGAAAGTTATAAAAGTTGCTGCAGATTGAAGACACACTGCTCAGTCAATGCATGTTTATTTTTATTTCATTCATTAATAAATATGACAAATGGTATAAAAACACCAGCCAACAACAAAATCAGATAACATGGTAATGAAGAATAACAATGCACAGTCATAAAATGCATGAACTTCATCCTGAAAAATAAAAATGGAGATATGATCAAGATTTATTCACAAGGTGCAAGAAGCTAAAAAATAAATTAAAAGCTGTGATAATTGATCATTTCACTTTGAGGTAAGGTAAAAAATATAATATATTAACTAGGCTTTAACAGGGCTCACTATCAGAGGTTGGAATTAATTTACACTGTTTACAGCATCTTATCATTCTGTATCAGCACTCAGATCATGTTAATTGATGTTGGGTGATATCAATAGAAGAGTGACTATAGTAGACTCACTGGGGATATGGTTTACCTATTAACATTGATATTTGCTATCATGAAAACAACATAGCCCAAACTCAGAAGATTGACAGTGCCAGGAATTTAATTTTTTCCCCACACAAGTTAAGAAAAAATGATAAAATTTGGGTATATAACATTGCACTGACAGCACTGTAATGTATCAAAAGGCGAAAATAGTATCTTTGCTGTTTGTACCACACGTTTTGATGGATTTATTGTCTCAGAGGCTTTGGTAATCAGTTTATACTATAGTCCAAACTCGAAAGGCCAAAAACGAAATTATTTATAGTAAAAAAAGTTGGGAAACGGCTTACCTCAGTTACCTGGATGTTATAAAATAAGAGCAAAATGAGAAAATTCACTCTACCGATAAGTGAATTAAGCCATTCACAACGTCAGACGCAGAGCACGAAGCTACGTGTCCTTTCCATTTGTTGAACAGGGAAAAAAGAGAAACACTTTTATCCATTTCATATGAAAAACAAAAAAATATATACGGAAAGCTGAAAATATTTTCATAAAAATCGGGAGGGTGATGGACACAGTTTTTCACTGTGTATCGCGGTATGTCAGTGGTAACTACCATGAGCAAAAGGAACCATGTGGCGTCAGCAAAGCTCAAAATCCGCCATCTTAGTGGCTTCACTTTTTTGACAGGAGCCGGTCCTCCAGGAATTATTATATAGCTCAGTGGTCATAGCAACTCACAAAGGCCGTATATTTTTAAAGTATCAAAGTTTACCCTCATATTTTTGTGAAAAAATGGCAAAAATACGACAAGATTCTTACCTTTTTCTGGAAGTTAAGTTACTCATCTATAGTCAGTGTTATAGTAAATTTTTTTAATTATTAATTACCATGAAATATAACATCAGACGTCTCATACAACTTCCGAAGTTTTATGTTACACCTCGATTGGTTTTTGCACGGGAATGTTTTGATTTTCTTTTCTTTTTGTCATTATGAAAACGGAGTTTATAAATGAAATTATAATGTCGTTTATCACATAACACATTCAGATTTATAGTGAAATACATTTGAGAATATTAAAGTTGTGTTTACCGCAAAAAATTACTTTTTAAAGCTGTGGATTTTCATATTATATTTAAATATTATCAAGTATAAAATCTTCCGACTTTATTATACACGGTGAATTCGGTCAAAAATTTGGTTTTGTTATTTGTTAAACCGTGAAAAGTCCTGACCACATTCAAGTTTCCCTCTAATTTAATAAAATACATATATTCTTTATTTTATGAAAACATGAAATTTATAAATTTCATCAAAATTTTGCTAAATGACAGTTATTTATTGACGTTTGAAAATACAAATTTTTGTCTCGACCAATCAAGAGCTTAGTGATTCACACTGGCGCATGCGCATAACGTAGAAGACCGTCCATGGCGTGAGGTCCATTGCATAATGGCGGACAACTTTGATTTCGCATTTGCAAATCGGGGGTGTAAATATCCGAACGGAATTAGTACCCTCGCACGATGCTCTGCACCGGCTCGGGGATAATTGTACATGTACAATACAAAAAAAAGGTAGCATACAGGTGAAAATATTTGAAAGTTTCTCATTTGGCTTAGGGTTGTACAAATACTTTCGTTAAATATGATTCAGCTACAACTTTGAACTAAAAAAAAACAGGGCTACACAATAGCCCTTAAAATCGTAATGAGCGTGATAACTCTGGATAACTCTAACATTGACCTTATCATGATGCTAATAAGCTTAACATTTGCCTTATCATTTGATAATTTTGAGCAAAGCTCTCTTTATTATTGTATAAATGTGTACCAAATGGCACTGAATAGTCACAATGCATATCGATGACTTATATTTATGATGATTCCTCTGATGTAAAGCCATAATATTTAAAAAATATAGCATCTTAACATTGACCTTATCATTATGCTAATTACTTAACATTCACCTTATCATTTGATAATTTTGAACAAAATTCCCATTATTTTTGTGCAAATGTGTACTAAATGTCACCATATAGTCACAAGACATATCGATGAGCTATATTTATGATGAATCTTCTGATGCAAAGCCATAATATTTAAAAAATATAACATCTTAACATTGACCTTATCATTATGCTAATTAGCTTAACATTCACCTTATCATTTGATCATTTTGAGCAAAACTCCCTTTATTATTGTATAAATGTGTACCAAATGGCACTAAATAGTCACAATGCATATTGATGACTTATATTGATAATGATTCCTCTGATGTAAAGCCAAAGTATAGAAAAAATATAGCATTTTAACATTGACCTTATCATTATATTTTGTTGTATAATTTTCACTCCCCCCCTGGTAAATGGTTCTTTCGCAACAAATAGACTCCTTGAAAATAATGGGAAAATAAAAGTGGCATCTTAACATTCTACTTATCATGTAGTGTGGACGCGGACGGCAACAGGGACGGGGACGGGGATGGGGACGCGGACGCCAAGACTATAGCAATAGCTCTCTTGCACTAAAGTGCAGGCGAGCTAAAAAGGAATAATTCGAACAAAGATTGTCAAGCTACCTCAAAATTATATATGCATGCTGGCAAATGCTATTATAAAATCACTGGCACCTTTGTTTTCATATAGGTTTTACTGACTCGCACGATTTCCGATGGGTTTCCGCATTCGAATATGTGCCCAGACGATCAACCGTGGTCTACATAGGTTGAATTCAGTATCATAAAACTTAAGGCTAACAAACCGGGATAAGATCTTAGTTTCTTGCAAAGTTGTAACAGACATCTTCAAATATATTAGCTATATTAAACAGCCATATATAACTAATACACTGGTACTATATGAGTCTATATGCATTGTTCTAAAGAAGTACTAACCATTCAGTTTACCAGGAATAATCCAGTAGAATTGGAAGCTGGTCGCTGATGCCTTTTGACAGCTGTTGACGTAGAATGTATGGAAGCCCCAAAATAACGTACGATGTATGATGTGTGAGTCGCAACGAGTTTAAGATCGGCTGTGGTTGACTGAGCAAATCAGCGTTTCTATCTTCAAATATGCAAGGCAAGCCAAAGTTGAAGATTCCTTATGAAAAAGTTCTGAAATTCCTGCTTTCGTTCCCAGGTCTAAAATCTACGTATGTCTTGTCGGACAACTAGGGGCGAGAAAGGGCGAGGGGCTAGGCAAGCCTATGTGGAGAGCAACGGAGCTAGGCCCTGGGGACAAGGATGCTAGGCAAGGTGAAAACTGCATATAATGATGAAAGACTGATCAGGTTAAGCCTTTGATGTGATGCGCTTTATACCTCCCCTAGCCGGGATAACTCGCCCCATGTAAACAGGCCCTTAGAAGGCCAGTTTTGACTTTTTAATAACCAAATATTCTTTGGTTAATAGCTTGCATGCAGTAAGCCCGTGTGAATAGGGAATTGCCACTAATCTGTCACGAAAAATCATGATCATGAAAACTTTTGGCCGCATAAGAATTTTTGGCCGCATAATACCGCATGAACCAGACGGAAATGGCATCGACGGAGAATGGTATTGATAAAACTCTATAAGGGCCGGATTAACCGTATTAACGGAAAGGGCAGTAACTCTGACGTAGCATACAAGCATTTTGCAACTATGATAAAATCGTAAAATCGACAGGACATCACACAATCCTATTTTGTCGATTCATTTTTGACGTATGGAATGTAGTCTGTAACTGACAAGCATTACGCAGCTTTTGAGAGATGTAAATTTGGTAACTACGAACTTTTACGTTAATATTACACTACATAAATGTTTCTTCCAGGACCGGGTCTAGGATTTTTTACGTTAGTCAAAATTTCCGTAGGTCAATTTTCGTCGCCAATAATCACCGCCATCCCCCCCCCCCGCCAGAATTATTAAATTAGTTATGCTTTCCAAGCGTAATGCCAGTCTAGTCTGCTAAATTCCTAGAATAGAATGCCACAAAATATTGTGTTCGCACTGAAATAGAAGGTTTAAAAAGGGACGTTTTGTGGATATAAAATGCCTGGTTTTCATACTAACAATCAAACCAAACAACCCCCAGAACGATCACCACACCTCCAGAACGAGCAAACCAAACCCCCAAAACGATCATGACGTCGTGAACGAATGACGATTTTAAAACTGGACCGTGTTCTATATTTCCACTTATATTACTGCCGAAATTTTTATGTTAGTCGCGTGTAATCTAGCTCTTAAAAGCAGAATTGCATTGCAAGTTTTAAGATTGCACCGCGTAATAGAGCCTTTAGAGACTATTTCAATTAAAATATCTTTTACTTTTCTTAATGATTTTTCAACAATATACTCTGTTATTGCTTTGGAAAATTTAGCCGGAACCGTCAAAAGCGTCGTTGCTGACGTCAACGTCAGAGGGCTAGCCCTCCCTGTCACGTTTATAAGGAAAATTTTCAGCCCTACCTGCTCCTCTCAGGCAAACAAAATTGTTCTTTAGTAGGTAGCCCTCCCTGTAGGGCTAATGTAAACAGCCCCTTAATGTCGCAATTATAAAAGGTATTATGCAGTGTCCTTTAATGATGAACTAAAACGATCGTCGTGGAACGACGTTTACGCTACCGATGATGTTGACAGTGCGTGGGATAAATTTTCTTGAGGTCTGTGATCGTCATGCTCCATTATTAAATAAAAAGGCTCGTGTACTCCATGGTTAAATGATAAGGTCTCTAGGATGATACTGACTCGGGACTATTATTTACGGAAAACCCGGAAAGCTAGGCGTTCGGGTCGTAGTCTTATTCGGGATAATTTGGATAATTGATACACGTCGTAAACAACTCGATTCGAAGGCCAAATGAAAAATTCAGAAAAGACTCATGGGATAGCATGACAAAACGTCATGGCATAGTCCGTCTTCCATCCAGGGCCGTAACTAAAACGATAATTGGGGGGGGGGGGGTGTTTATTCATATATTCAGTTCTGCCCGACGGATTTCTTTTGTAAGTGCAATAGCTCACAATGGAAATCCGTCGGGCAGAACTGAATATATGAATAAACACCACCCCAATTATCGTTCTAGTTACGGCCCTGCTACCATCGGAATAAAAATAACTTAAGAGAACTACTTTATGAGACTTCGATTGAATAATTCATTATAATGGTTACGTTCATGCTAAAAAAAATGTAACAAGTCTTCGCAAAAGTAAACTGTTTATTGATTTACCCAAAATAATATTAAAAATCACGCGGTTAAAACTAGGTACAATAATTATATATTAGGCACTAAGTTAAGCTAAAACGTTAAGATTTTGAGGTTAAGATCACTCACAGTATGACTATCTTTGAGTGATAGGCCTAGCTTGAACATTCAAAAAAGTTTCTATACAACCCGACTGTAGGTATAAAGGCCTGTACCGACACATGGTTCAATGTAACTATTAATATAATAAGGGTAATAGAACAGGTCACAAAAGTGAAAATTCCCCATGTAGTGATATCCCAATCTAAATTAATCAATATAAATTGATGAAGCTTGCATCATTAGCCTATTAAACCCTAAATTACAGTAATAGTATAAAAATCCATTGGTAGGTTTGTATACTTAATTAGAGATAAGTTAATACCAGTTCACTGATGCATTATTAATGCTAGTTGGATATTTTGCTTAAAAATGCTGGAAGACATTGTCAGTTAAATAGGCAGAGTATTGAGTTACTTTCCCTTAAGAAAAACTAAATAGCCCCCTATAGATTAAGAATAAAATCTCAAAGTATATAGGTAAAATATGCAGCAAATGTTTCATTTAGAGTTTTCCACCCAAGATGATCATTAGACAGGAAATGAATGCTGACACAAGAGAGTTCAATTTACAAACCATAGCAGAGGACTTGATTTTTCCAATAATGACACAATTTGAAGCATCGCAGATGCTACTGCATTCAGTGTCACCAATACATGTCTGGTAGCAATTTTTAACTTTGCTATCACACTTCATGTTACATCCATTTTCACAGCTTAAACGACATTCCTCATACTGATTACCAAGGCAAGAAAGTTTTCTTCCTTTACAGTTTCCTGTGCAGCTTCGTGTACAATTCTTGGTACTTTCATCACAACTGCTAACTTGTTTTGGTTCCTTTTCCAAACCAGTGCATTCAGCACCCTCACATGAATTCTCACATTTTGATTTTGCTTTATCACAGGTTAGTTTACAAGTTGAATTTGTTTGACAAACCTGTTTACAAACTTTAGTTTTAGGACCACATTCCATTTCACAGGAACTTCCTTTGCAGATTTGTAGACAGTTATTTGAGTTGCAGACCATCTTACTGGTGCAATTCATACAAGTTTGAGTGCAACTGTCTGTCTCACACGTAAAAGAGGAGCATGACCTACCAATACATAATTGTACACACTCCTTTGAATTGCCACAGTCCAATCCATCACATGTTTTATAACAAGCTTTCTCACATTTATCATCAGTACATTTGCCACCATACACCACACTGATTAAGCTGATAAGGAATAAAGCTTGTGTAGTTGTCACTACTAAAGTCATCTTTGGATTGTATCTAGGCATAAAAAAGATAGCAATTGCAGCACATGTATATATATATATATATATATATATATATATATATATATTATATATAATATATATATATATATGTATATGTATATATATATATATATATGTATATATATATATATATATATATATATATATATATATATATATATATATATATATATATATATATATATATATATATATATATATATATATATATATATATATATATATATTGTAAATTATTCACAAAACAATTATAATTTATTCATTTTTCTCCAATACAAGCTTGCCAATTTCACACAATGTAATTTTGTTGGATCCAATTCACCTACGATGTTTTATGCTTGGATTATCTACAATGTATATATGCAACAAATCAACTGAAGCCAATTCATCGCTGCTATATCAAAAACAGACCACATTCAGAAGCAAATTAGATTTGACTAAAATTGGATTCTGTGAGCCGATGTTTACATTATTATCAGATGTCCAAAGTACTACCATAAGCAAAAAACCATTACCATTTATAATTGATCTGTTTACGATAGCTTTTGCATCAAGATTACAGCATGATTTTAGCATTTATGCAATTGTTAAAGGAAGCACTAATGGAAATTAATGCAGTTTGGCCAACCTATCTGATCTTTACTACATAATTAACCTATCAGTTACAATGCACAGATGTGCAGGTTTTTATTTAAGAAGAATTTTGTTTTATGTCACTTAGTGGTTTATTTACACTCCACAAAATCAAACCAAACAAAATCCACAAAACATTCATTGATAATATAGATCAAAATTTAAAAAGGGTGTTGTCCGATAACACAAAATTATTGACTTCTCATGACAGGACATTTCCTTCAATCCATATTATAAATTCAGGAAACACATTGAGTTGATGCATTATATAATATACTACGAATGCCACTTTTAAGATAAACTATTTTGTCTTCAAAATAGCTTTTGGCATCCCAGATATATTTTCGAGTTTAGAAAGAATTCACAACAATACAAACAAAACGCTTTCTATTTTATATTTATATTGGCCATGCTGCGATGCCTTCGTTTAAGGACACTCTAATTTTGAGAAATTGTTAATCTAGACATGCACAATAACATTTCTAAATCAATGTAGAATTTAGAATCAAGGATTTGTATCAAATTACTTAGATACAATAAACATTCGAAGTCTTCGTCTCCGTTCGTTTGTGATTAATAAACAATCAAACCTATTAGCAAAGGCATTGTTGACGCACTTCGACCACCAAACCCGTCCCATTGAAATTCGTTTGTCAATTCGTTAACTCGTTCAACAGAAACTTAGCGAAAGCTTAAAAAAGTTTCAATTTTAAATACACGTGCAATATACCAAGTTATCGGCAAAGTGTCGCCATTAAAACGGTGAACGAATTCCGCTCGCCTCTTGAGTTCACAGCTGTTTACAAAACAGAACGTTAATTGCCATTTTCACGGCAAGGTTCGC